GTCTAAGACAGACATCTGAAAATAGTTTACCACTAAGTACTTTTTTCCAAAACAATCCTGTATGGGTATTTCGCCACTGCACTGCAAGAAAATCTACAAAATAAAATAATTATTTTTTATAAACACTTCTCCTGCGTTAAACCTAAACGGACGCTGCTTGTCAAAAGTTATGTTTACGGTAATACAAATTTGCCTAACAAAGCAAAAAAAAGAGGCGTTTCGGAAAAAATAAGAAGGATAGGAAAACAATACAACATACGAACATCTTTCAAAACACAAAATACACTTAGATCCATTTTATCATATACTAAACCAATCAATACAGAACAACAAACAAAAAATGTAATATACCAAATACCCTGTGAATGCGATAAATTTTACATTGGTGAAACATCTAGGCCCTTAAATGTTAGAATTAAAGAACATAAAGATTATTTAAGAAAAGGAGATTTTCACAAATCTAAGATTTGTCAGCATTCTTGGGACACAGGGCACAGAATAAATTTTAATAACGCCAAAATTATAATGAAAGAAGCGATAGCCTCTAAAAGAAAAATAAAAGAGGCTTTTTTGATTCAATCTAATAAAAAAAAGTATTGCTCATGCATCTGTAGATGTTAGTAATGTATGGCAATCGCTTCTTTGATTTTAAAGAACAATAGATACAACAAGATAAATAAACATAACATACATAAAATTTAAAAATAATCATACAGAAAGTTTGGGGCTTTTTGGTTTTACCTTATTAAGTAATTGTTATCAGGTAGTAAGTAAGTTTAAATATAAAGTTAAAAATGTCATTTTAACAGAACGTCAACGGTTTCTTGTAGACGTATCTGTTTTAAAAAAGTAAAGTGTTCTCGAATAGTTGAATTTAAATATTTTAAATAGTTTTTTTCTTTATTCTTTGTATTTTTTTGCTTCTGACGACGGAAAGAGATAACTTTTCGAAACGTTAAGCATTTTTTTTGCTTTGTTAGGCAAATTTGTATTACCGTAAACATAACTTCTGACAAGCAGCGTCCGTTTAGGTTTCACGCAGAAGTGTTTACAAAAAATAATTATTTTATTTCGTAGATTTTCTTGCAGTGCAGTGGCGAAATACCCATACAGGATTTTTTTGGAAAGATGAATCCGCCACATAGGTATAGACATTTTTTACTAAGTACTTTGTTTTTTTTAAACTGGGATTTTGCGTCTGCAAAGTAAAATTAGATAATTAGAAAAGAATCGGATGAGTTCAAATGTTAGAGCACTTAGCAAAACATAGACACCCAAAATCTCATTTAAATGGGAACAGCGGTTATTAAAAAATCTGAAAAAATGTGTTTATTTTTTTAAAATTTGATGCCCTCTAACGGACAAGGCAAGTACTTTTTTATAGAGGTAAATTGTGTCTAATAAACTTATTTTCATTCAAAAAATACGTGGTACTTCTATGTCCATGGAATATTAGGACATCCTCTATATATGATCTAGGATTCTTATGTGAGACACGATGTACCGTATGATCGAAAAAAAAACGGCGTTAGCGATGGCTATGAAATGAAGATCGCTGTCATTTTATATGTAAAATTATATGGGGAATGTTATTGATCGTCATTTCCAAGCCACCTGGACGCAGTTTTTTTTTCGATCACACGTTATAAACTTATTGTTAACCTAAAATTATTCATTTTATTGTCACACATGGAATTTTAATGTTAATAAGATGGGGTACATTAGTACATGAAGATGAATAATTTTTATTAGTATTCCTTTCATAGTGCGTTTGACACTTAGTCACTTATCTCAATGAGAAATGGTCTTTTTATACAAGAGCAACGGGATCTTAACGTAAACAAATTAATTCAAATTCATCCCAAGTACAGTTAGATGGTTTTATATATAGATGTACCATAGGTGTTTCATAAGAAATTTTATACAGGAATATTCACTAAAATTGAAAGAATATATTATATTGCCGACAGCTACACATAAAGGGAGTAAAGCGGTTTAACGACCTAAGCCCACTGCCACACAGAAAGCGTTTTTAGCGTTTTGCGTTTTTTGCGTCTTAAGCGCTTTTTGCGATTTTACAGTTTTAAGCGCTTTTTTCGAGTTGTGTCCATTAAAAACACGCAAAAGACGCGGCAGGTCTGCAGTTTCTATCAAGATGTCAATTAGTAACGTCGCAAGCTCGTGGATTCCCGGCCTGTCCAACAATCAATGCTGTGAGAAAGAGATAGGCGAGATCGGCGCCGTTAGCGTTGAAGAGACGAAGATAAAAGATGCTGGGATTGAATTGTAGACGGGCCGAGCCATATATTCGGAGACAAACACAATCTACTGCTAGTGCCAATGGTGTGTGTAAAAATAATAATAATTATTATTTGCCATTTATTTTACGAATTTTAGTTTACATGTGTATAGTTTTTTTATGTTGTAGTGTTGTGGTTTGGTTTGGTTTGGTTATAATATAATATATAATTATAAATATATAATAGAATAGTAAATATTTCTAATAAATTGTACTGAAGCTGTGGTTGGTTCCTTGTGAAACATCGTTGAAATATTAGTATTTTTAAATTATTATGTAAATAAAAAAAAAAAAAAAAAAAAAAAAATATATTTCTAGTTGCTAATGCAATTTTAAGACATGATTTATGAAACATTTTGGAGTGAAGCTTCTTTACGCGCGCTGGGAGTAAAAATTCAAGGCCGTGACATACGAGCTAGTGAGACGGCCCTGACACACGAGCTCGATGTAACGAAACGTGTTAACGGCTTAGAAATACGTAGTGACGCGACGTGTATTTGTGAGCAGTCCAAAAATATTGATATTTTAATACAAATTTTGTAAAAGTGAATCAAATTATTACGTATAAAAAAACATAAGTTTGCCGTAAAAAAACTAGTTTTATTATTTTACGCGAATAAAATTGTTACACGTAAAAAACTAATTTTTACGCGTATAAAACTATGTATTTGTTTCTGGTAGAAAACTATTTTTAGGCAGCTGTAATTTTTTTAGGAAAAAATCTAGTCGGCCGCTGTCACTTTTTAGGATGTTTCTAATATTGTTTTATTTGACATTACCCTACTGCAATACGTTATTATCTAGATTAGTATTAGTAGCTGCCCACTAGATTCTTTATCTAAAAATGTTTTTTGTCCTGACATGTAATGCTTTACATTTTATTTTTTAATTTCAAATCGGTGAGTTTTATCAAAAAAACACAAGAGATAAAAAAGTTTCTAAACAAACTAAACTATTCAAATTAATTTTTTTTGCATGTGTTTGATAAGATTTTTCTTTAAATTTCATTAACAAGAATGATAGGGGTAGTTTATTTCAACCCCTTCCACTCATTTTAAAAAAGTGAAAAAATTACCAGAAAGTGTGTTTTCATAACAGTAATGCTTCCGTAAAATTTCATTAGTCTATCTCTTTTCGTTTTCAAGATAAAAAATAAAAACATTATTTTTTCACCATCTTTGTACCGCGATATCTCCCTAATGGTTGACTTTTGACCCAACATTTATAAAGCAAACTACCCTTTATTTTGAACAAGGAATCACCCCCTGAAGTTTTTCGCATTTGTTTTGAAACACCCTGTATATAGAGATAAATGAATTACCACAGGAATTACTCAAATATCTTTACTATAGATATACAGAGTAACAAATGGCGGAAGTGAGCGTTGGCATAGTCAATTTAATCACTCTAAGTGAATTAAGTTGACAGAAGGGTATATTTACACTGTAATTAGAGAAGTAGCTCTTGAGTAATTAAGACTAATTGAAATACCGCCAGTATAACGATAATAAAATGCACAACGAAGAGTCGTTATCAATTGGTTATCTTCTCTAATATTGAAGAAAACTCTCTTTTTTAAATTTGATATTTTATAATGTGTATCACTTATATCAGATCATAAAAATTTAAACGTATGTACTACGTACCTACTACATAGGAAAGAAAATTGTACCTATTTTCCATTAAAGTATGGTTGATATTTTTTTTATTTACTTAATGAAAAAAAAAACAAATTGTTTTTGAAATTACCTCTGATTTATCGACAGGAACATTAATTAAAATACCAATGCCAACACTAATTTAAAGAAGGATTTTTTCGTATAAATTATTATACTTATGTGTTGTAGGTACATGATTTTTTTATAAAATATACACTGCAATTCGAAGAGATTTGAGAATGAGTTTCGAATAAAGTCCCTAGATCAAGTTTACCATTTGATATTTTCAATATCTTTTTTATAAAAAAGGATCGAAATATGCTTTTAATTCAGGCTGTTCAAGTTTTTAAAATTTAAATAATTTTGTGTTTTTTGCTGGGTGTATTTCTCTACAAAAAAAATAGCAGTCATATAAAAGGATTGCTTTATAGTTATTTCTTATACAAGACGATAAAATGGTATTTTATGCAATTTTATCGTCGTGTATAAAACAATATTTTTTCCATAGCGAGTTCCGTTTTAAATAATATTTAGAAATTATTATTTCAAGGAATTTATTGCGAGTAGAAAAAATATTGTGCTGGGTTGGCGTTGGTTTCTATGTAATTTGACAAATAAATAAAGCTGTCTCTTTAGTTGTCAGTTTTGAGTCAATATCTATAGTCAATATTTTTTAATTTTCTTTCGTGTCGATTGCTGTTTGAATTGGAGCCAGAAATGGCACAAAACGAAATAAGTAAATTACCAACAGATATTCAGGCTGAGGCGACAAATGCCATATCCAAACTGCTTCCATTTAAATCCCGAATAACTTATGAAAAGGAATACAAAATTTTTCAAAAATGGAAGCAATTAAAAAACGTGCGAGAAGAAATAAAATTTTTAACCTATCCTCGCTGTTAAAGTATCATTTAATCTACCCTTGCGGTTAAAGTACTATTTTATCTACTATTTTTTATAGATATTAGGCAATTTTAACAGTTGCCATGGAAAAAAATATATTTAACGTTCCTCTTTACTAATTTTCTTTCCTTTTTTTTCAGATAGTTACCTGCTTCCGCGCAGCCGTCCCGTTATAGACGCGCGCGCATCGCCGCCATGTCGTTTGCTCGCCGCGCCATCTTGTTCGCGCTGTGCGCAGTTCTAAGTTCCGCCCGCGCAGAAGACGACACTTCCGGTCCGGTGTTCCTTAAGGAGCCGCCCAATCGCGTCGATTTCTCCAACACCACCGGCGCCGTGGTGGAGTGTAGTGCCGTGGGCAACCCTCCACCGGATATCATTTGGGTAAGCAGTGTAGACATAGGTGTAGATTGTATATGGACGGGGGAAAGTAACCCCCGGGACTTTATAGATCTACTGTGTCCCCTTTTCTTGAGTTATAACTCATTATACAGTCTCAGGGCGTTGACAAAAAAATAGTATCTGAGATGATTTTACTTAAATCAAGGAAAGTCTTTGACGAAGTCCTGAAACACACAACTTCGAGTGTCTTAGACCGTTGGGGGATTTCCATTCCAGGTTACAGATGGAGTCTTCCAGGTTCTTGAGTTCCTCTTTAAGTGTCTATTACGCTGTACTGTTCGGGTCGCTCTCAGGGGTCGGGTAAAGCGGGTGTGTGCCGAAGGAAATATATATTATATTTCAGAAATCTACTTCACACCCAAAATTCCAAACACACGTGCTTTGATTAAGGCTTGCAGAGCTTCAGCATTTGCCATAAAATAGCAAACAATTTGTTACAAAACCATATAAATTATATATCACTGTAATCACAAAACTTCAATCTATTTCCGTATTGTAACGGAATTTTAAATTGTCTTTATTTTCGAGCAAATTTAGTCCAAACATAAGGAATATTTTGTTAATGTTTGACTATCAAAATCTTAAAAATAAATAAGTTGTCTAAAAATGCGCTACAATACGGATATAGTATAATTACTTATTAGGTAATAAGTAAGTTTACTTACATAAAATACGTTAAATGCTGAACACTTATTTTGCTTCTTTTTCGGACTAGTCAAATGGACACTTAGGTTGGTTTCCACTTGGGATTTTGGCGCCATTTCTGCATCTGGCCTAAATACTCCTATCCCTGTTCCTGCTTTGGTTTTGGAAGCATCAGTATACCACGTTATGGTATGGTCTTTTACCTGCTGAGCAAACGTTTCTCTCTTCCAATTCTTTTTATTGCTCAAGATTATAGTGAGGTGTTTCTCAAAGTTTTACATTCTTGGTATGTCATCCACTGGGAGTTGGAGAAGTGGAATTTTCTTTTTGAGGGTATTCCAAGCTCCTGAGCTGACAATTATCCCAGTACGGTTTCCGTCAATGACCATTCTAATCATTGTTGCATTGGCATATCTACCTATGACAATGTGCAGTGGTGTTAGGTCTAGAATGACTTCCACTGCTGCTGTTGGGCAGATGCACGCCAGTCTCTGCATTTTGCCTTGCTGTACGTTGCTCTAGTTTTGTATACCAAGCGACTGGTCGATAAATAATAATCATGGATCTTACTATCATGGTATACATACGTATTAATATAATAAACTATACATAATAATTAAGGAACCAATAAAATTATTAAGTTAACTAGATAGACGTATAAAAATTCCTATTTTTCTAGGTTCGATCTGATGGTACTGCCGTTGGTGACGTCCCAGGACTTCGACAAGTTCTCGCCAATGGAAACCTAGTATTTCCACCTTTCAGAGCCGAGGATTACCGTCAAGAAGTCCACGCTCAAGTCTACGCCTGCTTGGCCAAAAACAGCGTGGGATCCATCAATTCACGTGACGTCAACGTCAGAGCAGGTCGGTTATCTCTCCAGATTTAGTACCATGCGTTTTTTATTTAAATTTACTATACACGACATTGAACAACAACTTAAAAGACATTATTTAGTAACAATTTTAAATTGGTTTTGGTCTTAATAGAATTTTTATTATTAACTTATTTTTAGAATGATTTTCAATTTCAAGAAACTTATGGATCTTGTTTTTTATTGGTTGTCGTTTAATGTCTCAGCATTGCTGCATTACAAATTACAATAAATAACAGTTTCTATATATAGAATAATGTAATATTTTAGAAATATATACTGTTGTACATACAGTTGAAAATGACATAAATGATGATATATTTAAAATCAGTTACATTATACTTCCCTTAATTTTTTAGACTCTGTATTATGCATATTATACTTTACAAATCAAATACAGTAAAATGCTGTTTTATTGACCCACACTGTATAATGATATGATATGTTTTTCCACTTAAGATTTGTAATGTGGCAATCCTTGTCTATATTTAACGTACGACATATTAAAGTATATCTTTTTAATATTAAAAAGGGCATACTTATATATGGAGTCATGGAGTATTGCAGAAAAATATACAGTGTGTTTATATAAGGCAACAATAAAAAAAGTTCAGATTTAATAAAAAGTACAGAAAAATTAATGCAAAATTTCCCAAAGAAAAAAGTACCCTGTATAGAGTGGCTTGAAAATCTCTTTTGATCCTCATATGGATAATGTACCAGTTCCTACTCTACTAGTGTAGATTACACTTTAAAGGGAGACCTTCTACGTGTCACACAAAAGGGTTTTTGACCTAAATACACTGAATAAAGGGCCCTGAGTACATGGTAGGTTGGAATAAAATACAAGCAGTTCTCACGCGATCTTTTTTTCATTTAAAATATTCTTCATGTCTCCATATCATTGTTTTAGCAAGTTATAATTTCTAGTTTAAAAAGTCTAAAAATTACTAGTATTAATTTAATAAAAATAATTGTAACAAATGTGTATACCTATGTGGCGGATTCATTTCTCCAAAAAAATCCTCTATGGGTATTTCGCCACTGCACTGCAAGAAAAATCTACAAAATAAAATAGTTATTTTTTGTAAACACTTCTGCGTTAAACCTAAACGGACACTGCTTGTCAGAAGTTATGTTTACAGTAATAAAAATTTGCCAAACAAAGAAAAAATGCTTAACGTTTCGGAAAGTTTATCTCTTTCCGTCGTCGGAAGCATAAAATACAAAAAATAAAGAAAAAAACTATTTAAAATATTTAAATTCAACTATTCGAGAACACTTTACTTTTTTTTAAATATTTTGTCTTGTAGACGTATCGGTTTAAAAAAAAGTAAAGTGTTCTCGAATAGTGGAATTTAAATATTTTAAAAAGTTTTTTTTCTTTATTCTTTGTATTTTTTTGCTTCCGATGACGGAAAGAGATAAACTTTCCGAAACGTTAAGCATTTTTTTCTTTGTTAGGCAAATTTTTATTACTGCAAACATAACTTCTGACAAGCAGTGTCCGTTTAGGTTTAACGCAGAAGTGTTTACAAAAAATAACTATTTTATTTTGTAGATTTTTCTTGCAGTGCAGTGGCGAAATACCCATAAAGGATTTTTTTGAACAATAATTGGATATACACTGTTTCTTTTTCTGCATTACTAATGTTTATTTTAATATATTTCTTTATTTCAGAGCGTTACAATACTAAATATTACACTATTTATGGTTATAAGATGTAAAAATACATCTCATTAGTACCAGATATTTACCTAATTATAATTGATTTTTATATAATTTATATAATTTTTTAGAGCGTTGTGATATTGATATTTAACATTATCATTTAACAATCTAAATCTATATTATGTTAAAAAGAAATTAAACATTTTCGTGAAACTTTAACTTATAAAGATGGTCACAGTATTGAACAAAACTATAATATGATTCTTTGTTGTATGACTATTATGTATCTTCTTCTATATTTATATAGGGAAATATTAATAATAATTCAGTGAAACATACCGGGTGAGTCTTAAAAGTGGCTCACCCCTATAACTATTTTATTTTTTTAGATAAAACAACGAGATTTCGTATGTTAGTATATGACATAAATTAGGATTGATCGACATATTCAATTTGTTTTTGGGCACTTTTTCAACTACAACTTTTGATTTTTAAATGGTACCCTCGGTATTTTTTTACTTTATTCGATAGACAATGACACTCTGAATAGAATGACATATCATATGTCAACTTTTGACATTTTGGCATATGGTTTATTTGAAATTATAACATGCGGTTCATAACGACAATTTAACTCGAAATACGTGTGGTATCAAATTATTTGCAAAAAAATGCTTTTTCTAAACATGCTAATGAGCCATCCTCGTTCCATTTGAAAAAATTGAGATATATCCTTGATTAAAAATTAATTTTTGTAACACCGCTTAGATTAGGCTGTGTTAGGCACATTTCTATTAGGCACATTTACATTTCTCTTATTAGGCATATTTCTAGACTGAAATTTAAAATACAATTTGTTTTTGTGCGAGTATGTCAAAAGTTGGCATATGATATGACGTTCTATTCAGATTGTCATTTTCTATGGAATAAAGTAAAAAAATACCGAGGGTGCCATTTAAAAATCAAAAGTTGTAGTTATTTCCGGTGAAACAGGAAGTGGCCGACATCATTTGAATACGTCAGTCAATCCTAATTCATGTCATATACTAATATACCAAATCTCGTTTTTTTAAGTGAAAAAATAAAAAAGTTATAGGGGTGAGCAACTTATGAGACGCACCCGGTATACAACGAGTGTGGTGTATTTCTTTCTACCTACAAAACACCTGATGCTATAATATATTGTTCACATAATATATTAAATCATTTAATTCTGGTTTTCCCTCTACTAATATACAGGTGCAGATTTGATGTACATACACAGCTAAATAATCGAGACTAGGATTAAATTCTAGTTTTCCTTGCGATATTTAAAATTAAATATTAATTATTTAATTACAACAAAATACATCATATTGGGTATACAGGGTGTAACGAATTCAACAGGTTATTGTTCTCCTGAATTTTAACGCACCTCATTATGTTCACCCTGTATATAGTTACTATTATCAGGAATCGTTACTATTATTTATATTAAAGACCATATTATCAAACTTTGATATTATTAACTGGGTAATGAAAAAGTTTTGTGATCAAAGAAATTTCAGTTGTTGTCAGGTACATTAAATTTAATGTTATTGCCCATTAAAATGAATTAGCCTGTCAGAGCTCGTATAATCTCTTTCATTATAAAAGTTTTTCATTTTACACTTTATAATTAATTTACTAATAGATAATTAGCAAGCTCATAACATAATTATTTTTTTATATTTTGAACGAAATCATAAATATTATTATAGGTAAATTCTGAAATTAAGTATTTAAAAGCTATATTTAACTATAATTTCATACAAGAAGTATTATATATTATTTTATATTTAAACGAAAAACACAGACAATTTAGGGAGTCTCTGTACAAATTCGTCTATATTTAACTCGTCTACCGAGAAAAAAAACAATGGAAAACATATTTCGGAAACGGAAGCTTGGGTATTTTAATACGAGCCAACTCGAAAAAAACTCTGTTTGACATTTGTGAGCAATAGTGGATCTCCCTTGTGTTGTTCCATTGACTGAGTTAAATGCTATCACTGGTCGTTCACCCTCTCTGGGTATTGGAGTGCGTTATACCTTCCAAACAGGAAATCTGGACTCCTTTTATTTATAATTTCAGAAGTATTTTTTTTGTAAATTCGGGATATTAGAAAATAACCAATCTTGCTTAGTCTTAACTTTATATTTTGATAAATAATTTTTATATCCAAAATCAACAACAAGAATTTATTCACAAATTTTCTGTTCCTGTATACCCATTTTTGGCTGCATTATCACGATAAATTATAGTTCATTTTTTTTACTCCAAGTTTAAGAAATTATTATGAAACCAAAATAATGACGTGTTTAACTATATAAACTATATTGCAATTTTTGTTGCACTTTTTTTTGTCATTTTTAATGTCAGAAGCCTACTAGTAAAAAAATCGAAAGACAAAGCACTGTATAATACATTTTTTATATTAAAATACTATAATATAAAAGTTTTTACTTCGTCCAGTTGTAAACTAAAGTTAAAAGCATTTTTTAACGGTTTAAAAGTTTTTTTCTTTCTCAAGTGAAAATAATAAATCCATAATATTAATTTTAGTTTTAATACGATAAAAGCTTGTTTATTATTAAATAAAAATATTAAGTAATATGAAATAGGGAACTATTACGCACGTTTTTTTTTTATTTTCATGGCAAAAAACTTGCGGTACATCAGGAGCAAATTATGATTAATTTTATATTAACCGTCAAATAAGGTCAACTTTATGATGAATTACCGGCCAACATTAATTAGAATAATAAATTTAAAACTTTTGTGCTCTATATTTTTATATTCTAGTTGTCTTGTTTGTTATTATACAATAAGGTCTGAATGACACTATAGTTAGTGCAATAATGATTGACTCATTTTGATGATTTATTATTTATTTCTAGTTGAAAGTTATAGAAATTTCTTGGAAATTTTTCTGCTCTCTTTTTTTATTGGAATTTTTTAAATAAAGAAAATTTAAACATATTTTAAAATACATAATTTGATTTAAACCTACCTTTTTCTTTTTTGATATTTATATTTTTTCGTATCTGTATTGTACATTATTTATAGCTAGTTGTTTTGTTTGTGATTTCATTTTATAGTCTGTTCATATTAGAAGTAAATGTGTTTATAAAATTATAACAGAGAAGGCAACCTCTTTCATTTTAATTTATTGATTAAACTAAAACAAAATGTCTTCCAGCTTGTTTTAAACAAATATACCTGTAATTTTATTTTGTACAGGGTGAGTCAACGATAGAGTAAAGTCCATTATCTCATTTGTTTCGAGGTTTACAAAAAA